TGCGCAAGATTTCGCGGCGAGTGACGACCCATCCTAAAAGCATTCGTTCCACAACTACTGAACGAACAACAGACAACAATCTTTCATGTGTTTTAATGGGTACAGCATTAAGATTACCTCACAGAGGCACAGCGATTTAATCTAGAATATTATCACAACACCCACAGAACACAGAAGAGACGCACTACACGCTACTCTTAACTGCTTGATGTTCCCAGTCTGTGTGTAGTAGCCTTAAACTCTGACGTATCACATTTCCCACCAATAACAGCCCTCTAGTCCACCAGGCAGTAAACATTCCCCCCGCTCAGGGATTTTCTCGTCATCTGTGGACAGTAAAATATACGTGACATTAAACTTTTTTTTGTGCGAAATATGGGACGCTGTACAAGTGAGGTAAATGCTTCATAGATTCCCTTGTTCACTAATCGAGTTACAAGTTCGAAAATATAATGTAGATATTTGATCCTTAACTTCGTTCCTGGTACTAATACTAACACTGCAAAAGGGAATGAATTTTCTTTTCTGTATTTCATCCATTCCTTACGTTTACGAAATTACAAATTTTAAGAGCGTCAAGTCCGTTGGGTAAGACAGACGGAGTGTGAAGCATTGAAGTTACGAGAAATACATACATCTAGAAATTTTTAATTGGTAATCTTGACGGTAAGATACCACTTGTGTTACTTAGGCGTAAAAGGAGGGATAATATTAAAATGTTTTTGAGGAATTACAGTATGTGGGAAGGGTTCTACTACGAACTTTTGTGAATAAGGTTGTGAATCTTATGGCTCCATAAGGGCCACACACTTTGTGGCCAGGTGAGAGAGTAATAAATATCAAGAAGGTCCCTGTTGAATGGAGTTATAATAAGTTCTGTTTGACTTTTTTATATACTGTGGCTTAATACATTCTGTGTGTATTTGCAGGAGGATACAGCGATACGCGAGACGCGCTCAATACCGAAAGTATGATCCTGAAAAAGACACGTGGACTGAGATGCCTGATATTAGCCTCTCACGTGGCTACTCAGAAGCAGTAGTGATCGACGATATGATCTTTGTCATCGGTAAATGTTTTGAAGTGGTCAACAGCTTCAGTTTCGGATGTTTCGATGACGTGAAAAATGAATGGTTTGTCTGTTTACTCAACACTGTATCATAACAAACTGTTACTTTTGAGAAGCACTAGGAAGTGGATCGGTTCCGGTCAAGATGATCGCAATCTTGCTGAAGCTGTGCTGTGTATTATATTAGGAACTGTCCGAAATTTCAGAGGTTCTTATCGCTTACTCAGACCATTGAATACAGAACGCGAAAAATGGATGAGAGGAGGGGTTTGAATGAAAGCAGATAGGGCAATGTTACGATCAAGTTGAATCGTTAAAGCAGAGAGAAAATGACTAGGTAATGCTAATCAGACGTCAACTGTAAATGCATTATTTAGAGCTCTTATAGCAAGTTTCTTTGATCAGGAGTATTCTCTTGGGCAGGACGTTTCTTGCGTTCAGCATCTCAGCATCGCGATTATCATCGGCTTTCATAAAAAATGTTAGGCCTATCCGTCTCGCGTTCCCTTATTTGGATGGAAGTTTGTTTGTAAATGGCTGTCTCTTGGCGTGTTTCACAATGCAGTCTTGTGCCATCTGATGATGGAGTCAGTAAGCATCTCCACAAACATTCCAGAAGACAGCTTTCTTCATACTTATCTGTGCAAGAGCCAGAAATCTCACAGAAATTCATTTGTTTTGGGTTTATTTTCAACAGAACCTCTCTAGAACTATTGTTGGCAGGACAGACAAAAATAAACTAAATTTTGAAAACAAATTGCTAAAAGGGGGAAATATTATTATGGGAGCAATTCTCAAACAAAACACGCGTCTCTCTCCAAAGAATATTTGATTGAAGTGTTATTCTGACCGGGATAATGGCTTAATGAAGTATAGCAAACACAGCTAGCGCAGAACATAATTCATTTGACAACATTTTAAAATAGTCATAACCTCTCCCTCCATTTTGATGTAATAAAATGTATTATGTTATAATAGCATGTTGGCCGGTGTTCTATGCGAATATAAGTAAAAGAAAGATCACGTGGGAATCGTGCACTAAAGTCCCATTGGGGGAATTTTCTTAAGGTTGTCTGGAAACAAAATACAAGCAACGATATTTCGGTGGAAGCCTGTGCCTTCAGCTTCGAGCAGTTTTCCATTCTACCTAAAGACAGAGTCAGCTCATCAGGCATGGACTTTCTTACGTCAACACATTACAGTTTAGAACCTCAGAAGAAAAGTATATATATTTTTAAGGGAATGGTTAATTTCTTTAAATAATTGCACTGACATTCAAATTACATTTCTATTAACTTTACATTGAGTAAAATATTTATGGTAGAAGACGCATCTCTTCATGAGTTACCTCATCTAATGTAGAGCTACATATTTTCTGTAACTGTGTTCGCGAAATGTGATGAAAATTGTCTTGAGTGTAGAAAATATTGATGAATGATGAAAAAGGGTTTGTTTTCACTTTTAATATTTAAAATTGCAGGTACCAGGCGACAGAAAGTAATGTTTATAGATTTGGAATGTCGATTTGTGTCGTCAAGAATCTACCGAATGCAAAAGATTACGCCTACAAACACAGGGACAAATTAAAGGAGGGGAAACGTACGAAATTGTTGGCTTTGAGAATCTCAGTGGAAGCAAGCCTTTGATTAAAACCTCGACGAACAAATCAATTTTAATTAGGTGCCTCAAGAAAATAATGAAGAAAACGGGGATTTGATGTAATAGCCAAGAAAACAAATAAAGAGAAATGTCTTTTGCGATAAAGAAGGAAATATTATTTCTCCTGTTTATTTTCTGCTCAAGAATTCTTATTAACACTAAATTATTTTAAAGACGTTTAATTGTATCCTAAATATTATTATCTATGAACACATAGCAGTTTGACTTTGTGTCTTGTACTAAATCCATTTGAGGAGACATGTTTCGAGTTACGAAAGCGCCTTCATTGTATTAGGGGAAGTGGGGGGGAATCGCGCCATCTTAAGGGAAAATGAAATGTTGTTGCTTCATGAACATCGTATACAAAAACTCCATTACGAAGGCAATACACGTTAATTTTGTATTTATTTCTTATCTACGTGTGATTTTAAAAAATTTGCGAAAATGCATTTGGCTGAGTTGCCCCGATATACCGGGAAATTCTGCCATGTTTCTGGGGAAGTACGCCCTTAACAAATGCCATATAGACAAAGATGATCCTTTCAGTTAACAGGTGTATTTATTTATTCATGTTATTTTGTACGGTACTTTTAAGTGCTTGATATATAAGTACAGATTATTAACACAAAACACTCAAAATTAATTAACTTCAGTTTAGTAAAGTTACATACAGAGTGAAAGAGAAAGGTGATTGCTGTAAAAAAATGGGGTACTCATCGCGTGTTTCCGACATGAAGTCAAATTCTGTATCAGCTTAACAGATCATACACCAAGGCTCAAAAGGACCTTATTGCCGCCACACTGCCTGGTACTCGGGCAATACCGCACAATAAAGTACCATTACCTCAGACGTGGTTAATGTAACACATTATTTATTCCTGCCCGAGCCAAGAATGTTACAAGTCTGCACATTCAGAAGAATTTACATGCACATTTGTACTTTCAAATGTTATCGTCTAAAGCATGTCCATAGGAATGATCAGCTGGTTAATGCCATGTAGGGATTCATCGCTGTTTATTCTCTTTAAAGCAATCAGTATCACCTTGACTCAATGTCATGTTGGAAGCGAGCGATCTTCAGATGCATAAAGTTATTACTACGTAACTAAACATTAGTGAAGTACTGTTCTCATTTTCCAAAACCATGTTGAGTGTGGCCTTTGTCACCATGGTATTTCACATCCTGAGAATATGGACAACAGCCGATAAGGGGTAGTCTTCTAACAAAGGGTTTAAGAGGGGGGCTAACAACTTTCTAACTTATTATATTACAGAGCTGTGTATTTGTCTGTCAGTAGTACTAGTTTTTCAAGGTTAAGTTTGCTCCATGAATTTCGTTACATCTTCCAAAGGAATTTCAAAACTTATTAAAACAATACAATATGATTAATCATCATCATCCATTGCTGTTTCAAGCCTGGGGCCAGGTCCGCTTGGTAAAGCTCCTCCATCTCTTCCTGTCCCTCCACCACTCTTCTTTCTCCAACTGCCACTGGGCACCTCACTCCATCACGCCTCCTACCTTCTTCGTGGTTTTCCCCTTGGTCTTGTGTATTTCTCTCTCATATCCAATATTTGTCGAGCTATCCGCCCTTCTCCCATTCGCTTCAAGTGTCCATACCACTTCATTCTTGCTTTCCCTCACGTCCATTCCTTTGCAGATAAGACTCTGGAGGGCTTGAAAATGATCCTCTGACTTCCATCATGTTGGCTTGGGTAAGGATAGCCATGATGTCATTGCTATCCGCGTCAGTAAACACTATAAATGGATTACCCTGATTAGGATGCATTAATTGGATGCTGTAAGCTAATTGCATTCTCAAGGTATCAAACGCGGCCTGTTTATGCTCATCCCACTTCCATCGGTTTCCCTTTTATCAATAAAGGTAACAAAAGAACCACGTAACTCGTGTAATTTATGATAAAGCGATGGTGGTAATTACAGATTCCTAAAAGTCGCCTTAGATCCTTGTGGTTTTTGGGGGCGGGGTAGTTTAGCATCTTTGACATCCTTTCAGGTTCTGGCGCGACGCCGTGCTCATTTATTATGTGATCTTGAAATTTGGCTTTGGGCTACCCGAACTTGCATTTTGTCACATTGATGGTGAAGCCTGCTTTAATTAAATTTGATAATACAGTATCCAAATGCTCGAGGTGATCTCGGTATTTCCTCAAGTAAATTAGTAACTCGTCTACATAATTCACCAAGAAATGTGTGGTTGTTCCGCCAAATATGATGCGAAACGCCCTCAGTAAACCACATAAGCTGTTTCTGTGCCCACAAGGTACTCTCTTGAACTGATATTTCCTCAAGTAAATTAGTAACTCGTCTACATAATTCACCAAGAAATGTGTGGTTGTTCCGCCAAATATGATGCGAAACGCCCTCAGTAAACCACATAAGCTGTTTCTGTGCCCACAAGGTACTCTCTTGAACTGATATTGCTTTGACACGAACACAAATGCTGTTTATTTCCGACACCCTTCATCCAATTCAATTTGCAAAAGCGCTGACGTCAGGTCTAATCTGGGCATGAACTTAGCCCCATGGAATCTTTGAATTAGTTCCTCAGTTCCGCAATAGTTATTTCATTTACCTTCCTCGCATCCAAACATATTCTGGGCGGTTTCTTTTCTCGACTGACTATAACTAAAGGGTTGTCGTGAGGGAAACTGGAAACTTCGATAATACCATCAGAGATCATCTGGTTTATTTCCTTTCTTACAGCTGCACGCAAAGAGAATGGTATCTGCCTTGATTGTGTTCTAATCGTTGACTCACTGTTCATTTGGATCCCATAGGTATACGTTCTGCAACGCCCCGGCCTCGATGTGAAGTGTTCCAGCTACTTAATAATACATTTAACTGTTGTTCTTTCAGCAGACGCGACACGTTTCCCTGGGCCTCTATGATCCCGGACTGGTCCCAGCTGGAAATGTTACGACGTTCGGCCGGTGCAGCTATTGGGTTTGAATTATTCGTGGTAAATTGCCTCTCTCCCTTATCAATACCTAAACGCCTCCCGTATTCTAACTTTGCTGGGTAAAATGGCCCGCATTAACATAACTCTATCTCCTTTTCGGAGCGATCATGATTGCAATCTCTGTTGCAACATCTACAATTTTACACGTACTCCTGGGGGGTTCTCCTTCTATATCTTCATCAAACTCAGTCTCCTCCTGCGAATGTTAACAATCACGAATAGCTGAGGTTTGATCCACCTGTGGTTGGATTTGGCTACCAGAGACGAGTAGGAGCTTGTGGTTGTCGTATGCTTCGCTGTAGTGACTATCGTCCTCTGGGTCCCGTCCGTTACATCGCTCAATATCTTGCCCTGAGCCCTTGTTAGATTTGAACCTAATAGCAACTCCGTCTCTCTCTGTCTGGAGGCTTCACTCTGCAAGAATCTACACCTAGTATCATAGGAACCATTAATTTCTGAGTAACGACGAAAACCTGGTTAAATTCGTCGTCTTCAATTCCAAATTCCACCATTGCCTGTTTCTACAATCTCTTAGATTTGCTACCGAGGGCTGTAATCAGGATGGAGTCTTTAACGTGCAACATCAACATTGGATGTTGCTTCAATATTAATTTCTCATAGATTTCTTCAATGACCAAACTTATCTGTGATCCATAATCTAATAAATCGTCACCTCAACACTTCCGATGTCAATTTTCACGTAGAGGCAATTGTTCAATCTGTCGCCATTTACCGCTTGTAATAAAACTTCATGTTCTAAACCCAGTTCGTCATCGCAAACTCCTGCACTTTTGACTTTTAACTCATTCCTTGGGGCGTTTTCTACTCTATTGCACCCATCTAGGTCGAACCCACGCCATCCGGACACGTCCTGTTCTAATTCCCCTGAGGCTGATTGGAGCTTGGTCATGGGACCCGCAGATCACTGCCTTCCTCTTTCCTCTCCTGATTGAAAGTGATGGCGTAGGGGTTCAACTGGTACCCCTGTCTGTCATTCCGTCTCTCCTCCTTCCTGTGCTGCCCACCTGTGGCACAATTGTTACGTAAATTTCCAAAATCCGATTGTCGATGGGCCGGGCGATCTTGACAGTTGCTTCCCCTACCAAATTCCACCCCTCTGATTTTATATTGCCTTTCCTGGTTTCTGTCATTGCCTTGATATTGTGCCCTGTTGTTCCGATGACCCTGCGAGTACGAGTTTCCTTGGGATTCTCTTTCCGTCCTGCAACCCTGCTCTTTCTTTTCTATCTCCTCCATTTGCCTTAGGAAGCTGACGACCTCTTCAAATTTCTTAGGCTCCTTAGCCAAAGAAATTCTCCGCACGGATATTGGGTAATGAGCTTTTATTGCAGAAATGAGTTCCTGGTCATCCATTGGTTGTTGTAAGTGCCTGGCTAGGACAGCATATTTTAGAAAATGGTCGGACATAATATTGTCGCTCTGACGATTGAATTTCTCTTGATATATTCTGCAGCGAGTGGCCGACTGGCTTTCGTTACTTCAAAATTGATCTCTTAAATTTCTCATACTTTTGGAACGTACCCACGGTCGCGAGAATCCATGACCTGGCTGATTCATTCGTGAGTGATTTCATAGCAAAGGTTAAGGGAAATTGTGGAGGAATTGCTTTCAATTCGAAATAATCGTCAAGTTGTTTAACATGGAACAAAGCATTTTGTATCGTAGCATCTACAAAGTGGGTAACGGGATTTCTACTAATTTCTGGATATTTGCTCTGAAATTTAAGGACGAGTTAGGTGACTCACTTACAAAAGTACTTTCATTCTGCATGCACCGTCCATCAGAATTCGCATGCAATGGATGTTCTCGCGAACGGCGTCACCAGGGCGTCGTAAAAGTCAGCGGACTCCTGGTCATCGGCTTCGAGGGTGGGCGAGTACTTCTGAATGAGCGTGCCGGTGAGTCGGGCAGAAATGCCGAACTCGAGAACGGCGAGGCGATGACTGAGCACCCGGAAGTTACGGACGTGATGCAGGAACTGAGGAACGAAGACAAAGCCGACTCTTGCAGAGATAGAGCCTTCTTGTCGAGGGCTGAGGAAGACGCCGGAGCCGTCGTGGAAAGTAGCAGTCAACGCCTTGTTCCTCTTCGT